ATCCTTTTGAAAACATATTCGTGTTCGGTGATTTTAAAGCCTACCATTACATGCGGCCTCAACACTCAGTAACGAAACACGCTGGCATCAAAACCCTTAACTCTTCAATTACGCAATCCTTCACGCAAGTAGTTGTCTTTCCTACACGCAGCCCTGACAGTAACACTTCCCTTATCGATCTCTGTTTTACCTCAATCTCTGACTTCTATACGCAGCTCTGTCCGTTCAATAACTCTGATCACGCGGTAGTGTCTGTAAACATCTCCTTCCACTTCCCCTCCAGCAGAGAATCTCCGACTAAAATAATATCTTTCTGTTATCAATGCGCAGTCTGGGAGTCATTCTTTGATTTAATTAGCGTCGTCCATTTGAATTATTTTTTAATCATGGCCCCTACTCCTCAATAAAAACCGGCATCGAGTCTTTCATCCCAGCAAGAAAATATCAAGTTCAATCGGGCTCATCTGCTTCGTTCTCACCTGCTTGCTCAGCCGCTATAGCCCATAAGATTCTCTACTACAGTGTCATGTCTGATTGCAACAGTCGTCTCTGTCTCTGCTCGTAATGTGTGCAAATGTGTCCTCAATGAAGCAAAATTACTGTTTGCTGGTAGAATGAAACAACGTGTTCAAACTCCCAAGCTTGTTTCTAATGATTATTGGCGGCTCTGCAAGAATATGCTGAACAACAGCAAATACTCAATCCATCCTCTAATCAAACACTTCGATGCCCTAACATCCACAGCTTAAATCTTTTCCCGGAAATTCTCATCAACACAATATACAACTCATCCGGACTATCCACAATTGATTTGCCATTGGAATTGAGGATCATACTGAGTGAGATGTACATAACCCCGCCGATGGTATTGGATATCATTTTTTTACCAGCCGTGTACCTAAAGAAATGTGCCTCTGAGCTTGCTCCAGCTCTCTCCAAACAATACAATATTGCCTCGCTGATTCTTGCTTTCCAGCCTGTTGGAAGACCTCCCCTGTGCGTCCATGTTTTTAAGAAAACCGGAGACACATCTGACCCATCGAACTACCGATCAATTAGTCTCTTAGCACACTTCATCAAAGACTTCGAGAATTTAACCAATGCCAAAATGATTAAGCATCTTGCCTCCCACGACCTACTTTCCGACAAACCATACGGTTTCCTCTTTACCCGGTCTAACGCTTACGGCCATAACTGAATATGTATAGCAAGCTCTTGACCGTAACGGAGAAGCTGGTGTTGTGACTTGAAATATCTCGATCCCATTTGACAGGGTTTGGCATGACGGTCTTCTGTGTAAGCTTCAGTGATACGGTATGATAGGGTGATTATTTGATTTCATTCAGGCATTCCTAAAAAACCGTGAAAAGAAGGTCGTCGTGAATGGCTCCTTTTCCAGCTCTTTTCATACGGACGCTGGTGTGCCACAAGGCTGTATCCTGGGTCGTACACTGTTTGTGACCTTCATCAATGATCTTCCTGACGTTAACAGTTCCCAAATAGGCATTTAAGCAAACGACACTACTATTTACTCCTGATTCAATAGTATATCCAACATTACTGATCCTTGCTCTCGAAAAGGACGTCCTATCTGTGGTTGACTGGGTCCGGAAATAGCTTTTAAATCTGAATCACTCCAAAAGGAAACTGCTCTAATTTAACCACCATAAAGAAACTACTCTGCCTCCTATCAGCAGGGATGATGTTGAATTTCACGGGAGCGTCACACTACACCATATTTGTCTCACGTTTTCTCATGGTTTGAGGTGGAACGCCTACATTTAATCAATAATTGCAATCCATTGCAAGGAAAGTTGATTCTCGGTGTCGTGCCAGAATGTTTTTTTTTCTCGTCCGAGTCCATTTTACTCATCTACAAATCTACCATTCTTCGAATACAGTTGCCATTGAAAACTGTTGCTGTATATGTTCTAATACCTACGCTGTTCATCTCGATGATGGCGACAGCTTTTTTCTCGCACTTCCCGACAATGGAACTCTCATCCTCTTACTCGCTTCACTGATAACTACAATCTTAAAGAATTTGAAGATTACGCCAATAGACATCGTATGGTGCCTTGACAGCGGATCTTCTTTTTGTCCTGTACCTGAATCCCAATATAAACGTTTTTTTTTTGTTTTTTTTTACTAACACTTTCTGTAACCCCATCTGTACTATTGGCTCTCCAGCGTAACTTGAAATGCACAAACACACACACACACACACACACACACACACACACACACACACACACACATATATATATATATATATATATATATATATATATATATATATCAGGTCATCCCATAAGTTCTGTTCGAATTATAGTTTTTAGTTAAAATGAACGAAATTTAAAGAGTATTTTAGAATATCTAATGGAGCTGAACATTATTTTTATGTTTAGATGCATTTAGACTAATCAAGTTTTATTGCAGAGAACAATAAAATTAAATTTTGTTGGATTAAAACACTGGAAATGCCCAAAAATCATTTGAGGAACATAATGCTTTATCAGTTCAAGAAAGGAAACTCAGCAGCCGAAGCGGCGAGAAACATTCACTCAGTTTATGGAGAGCAATGTGTGAATGAAAGAACTTGCAGAAGATAGTTTGCAAAATTAAGAGGTGGATATTTCACCCTTGAAGATGAAGATTGAACCAGACGTCCAGTTGAGTTTGATAAAAAACTTCTTGAAGCAGCCTTTGAAGAAAATCCTGCTTTATCAGTTGAGGAATTGGCAGTGGTTCTCAGTTCAAACCATACAACTGTTCATCGTCATCTTCAACAACTTGGAAAAGTTCCTAAACTTGGAAAATGGGTGCCTCATGAATTGTCTGAAAACAACCTCAAATCCCGAGTTGACATCTGCTCTTATCTCCATTCACCTTTTTTGGATAGACAAAAAATGGATTTTTTATCGATGTTAAGTGTCGTAGACAGTGGCTTGGTAAAAGGGAAGGACCCCAGCCACAGCTGAGAACGCAACTTCATGGGCAAAATGTTCTTCTTTCAATATGGCAGGATCGCCAAGGAATAATCCACTTTAAATCCTTACCACCTAATGTAACAATTAATGTTCAAATATGCTGTCAGCAATTAGAGCGTTTGAACCAAGCGTTGAGGAAACAAAAGACCTGCTCTAGTGAATCGAAAAGGGGTGATGTTTCATCAGGACAATGCGCGACCCCATACAGCAAGAATCACGTCACAAAAGATCGAAGAACTTGTTTGGGTGAAAATTCCTCATCCATCTTATCCTCCTGATCTTGCTCCATCAGACTACCAATTGTTTCGTAGCTTACAGAATAATTTGGAAGAAACAGATTTTGTAACACAGGAAGAGGTTAAAACTGACATTTGTGAGTTCTTCGAATCTAAAGGCAAAAGAATTTTACAGTAATGGAATTAGTAAGCGTGTTAATAGTTGGAAGGATGTCATAGATAATCAGGGAAAATACATTGTTGATTGAATCTGTAATTAAATGTAACATTTGGTCACTTGTTTTCTTTACTAAAAATTCGGACAGAACTCATGGGATGATCATATATATATATATATATATATATATATATATATATATATATATATATATATATATATATATTGTGTATATTTAGGTAGCAATTTTCATAGATGATTGTTTCAGTTAAATAATATAGAAAAGGTTTGTCTATTTTAAATAAGTTCCTTTCATATTTTTGATAAGCATAATAAAATTATCATTGAAAGACGAAAGGAAAAGATAACGATAGTCTGTTTCTGTTGCATGGAAAATTTCAAGGCAACGACAGACTTTTCATTCAACAAAAACAGAATTATTATTGTTTCGTCCGTGTATTGTTTGATAAATTGAAATGCAATTTTCAACTTTGATAATGGATTATGTAATACGAAAGCTTAGATTGGATTTAAACATGTATGAATATGGTGAATTTCTTTTGTATTTCAATGATAATGCTATTAAGCTTATCAGACTAATATGAAAGGAACTTACTTAAAATAAATAGGCAAAACTTGTCTATATTATTTAATGAAACATGCATCAATATATATATATATATATATATATATATATATATATATATATACATACTAATATTTATATATTATTAATATTATTATTATTATTATTGTTATTATTATTATTATTATTATTATTATTATTATTGATACAAATAAAGGGATTGCCACTTGGACACGAGTTATTTAAAGAGAGTCCGTCTACAAAACTCTGAATCATGATTTCAGAGTTTTGTAGATGTTCTCTCCAGGAGTACCTAAGTCCACTCCTCTGAGGAAATCAGAAATTATATATATAATTTAATACTGGTGTCATCACCGAACTGCGACAGTCTATTTCATTTTAAGCGCAATCTTCAGGCTGTATATATATATATATATATATATATATATATATATATATATATATATATATATATATATAGGGGGTGCGTGAGTGTGTGTGTGTGTGTGTATGTGTGTGTGTTTAAATCGATGTATATAATTTCGACTTGATTGTTATAATCTCGAATTATTTAGAGTTATCCATTCTATCTTTTTAATGTTATTTCATTTTACTTAGAACGCAATTACATTATCGTCTTCCTTATTCAAAAAATACCACGTTAATTCACATTCTGAAATATTTCTTTTTACATTTAATAGAACGTCCCCCTGTCACACCAAACAGATCATTCTGTAACTTTCGATATTTTTAATTTATTTTTTTCCCTTTTATTAATCGTTGCATTAATTCCTCATTTCTTGGCCAATTTCCATCGTTTCTTCAAATCATCCTTTTTTACATTTTATATTATTCCTTGTTCGTTGTTTTTTTTATATATTCTATTCTAAATTTTGTCTACGAATTTTCCTTTTTCTTTTTGTAACTCCTGTCTCTTCCTTTTTGCTTCTTACCATTCTTCTTTTCTTCCATCAGCATTTCTCTCCTATTTTCCAGTATCTCTTAGGTCTTTATATTTTGGTTCATTTTAGTTTTCTATTATTATGCCTTTTCCAATTTCTCTTCAGTCCTTTGTTTCTCGTCTTCTTTTTCCGTGTGTATATATTTTGACCCATCCGTTTGTGCTTCTGATATCAATTCTATTCTTTGTAATATTCTCCCCTCCTTTCTTTTCCATTCTATCATTTTCGGCAGAACGGCCCCTTCCTTCTTTCTTTCTTTTTATTCGCTTCTTTATTTCCCGTACTGCCATCTTTTCACTCTTATATTCTACCATTTTTTTTTGTTTTTATCCCTTCTTCCTTACATCTGATCGCGTTTTTCTACTTATCGTCATTCCGTCCGATCTTCTTTCTGCTTCTTCAAATTGCTTTTCAATCCATCTTTTCTTCCTAACTTTATTTTGTTCGTCGCCCCTTCTGTCTCTACGTCATTCTATCTTGACTTGCTTCATTTTTTGTTCTTTATATTTTACTTCATTCACCTTTCTCCCTTCCTTCCTTCATTCTTTACTCCTTTCCTTCCTTCCTTCCTTACTACTTTCCTTACTACCTTCATTAGTGCCTTCCTCTCTTCCTTTCTTCTTACCTTCCTTCCTTCCTTCCTTCCTTCCTACCTTCATTCCTTCCTCACTTCCTTCCTAGCTTCCTTATTCCCTTCTTTCCTTCCGTACTCCCTTCCTTCTTTACTCCCTTCCATCCTACCTTCCTTATTCGCTTCCTTCCTTCCTTCCTTCCTTCCTTCCTTCCTTCCTTATTCCCATCCTTCCTTCTTTTTTTCCTTACTCCTATCCTTCCTTCCTTCCTTCCTTCCTTCCTTCCTTCCTTCCTTACTCACATCCTTCCTTCCTTCCTTCCTTCATTCCTTCTTACCTTCTTTACTCCCATCCTTCGTTACTACCTTCCGTACATCCTTCTTTCCTTCCTTCATTCCTTCCTTACACCCATCCTTCCTTCTTACCTTCCTTACTCCTTTCCTTCCTTCCTTCCTTCCTTCCTTCGTTAGTCTCTTCCTCTCTTCCTTTCTTCTTACCTTCCTTCCTACCTTCCTTCATTCCTTCTTTCCTTCCTTCCTAGCTTCCTGATTCCCTTCTTTCCTTCCTTACTCCCTTCCTTCCTTACTCACTTCCTTCTGTCCTACCTTCCTTATTCCTTTCCTTCCTTCCTTTCTTCCTCCCTTTCTTATTCCCATCCTTCCTTCTTTCTTTCCTTACTCCTATCCTTCCTTCCTACCTTCCTTACTCACTTCTTCCTTCCATCCTTCTATCCTTACTCCCTTCCTTCCTTCCTACCTTATTCCCGTTCTTCCTTCCTTCCTTTCTTCCTTATTTCCCTACTCCCATCCTTCCTTCCTACCTTCCGTACTCCCTTCTTTCCTTTCTTTTTCCTTGCTTACTCCTATCCTTCCTTCTTACCTTCCTTACTCCCTTCCTTCTTTACTACCTGCCTTCCTTCCTTACTCCCATCCTTCCTTCCTTCCTTACTCCCTTCCTTCCTTACTCCCATCCTTCCTTCCTTTCTACCTTCCTACCTTCTTTACTCCCTTGCTTCCTTCCTTACTACCTTCCTTCCTACCTTCCTTACTCTCTTCCTCCCTTCCATTCTCCCATTCTTCCTTCCTTCCTTCCTTACTACCTTCTTTCCTTCCTTCCTTCGTTACTCCCATCCTTCCTTCCTTCCTTCCTTCCTTCCTTACTCCTTCCTTCCTTCCTTCCTTCCTTCCTTGCTTACTCCCTTCCTTCCTTCCTTCCTACCTTCTTTACACCCTTCCTTCCTTCCTTCCTACCTTACCACCTTCCTTCCTACCTTCCTTACTCTCTTCCTCCCTTCCATACTCCCTTTCTTCCGTCCTTCCTTCCTTACTACCTTCTTTCCTTCCTTCCTTACTCCCATTCTTCCTTCCTTCATCACTCACATCCTTCCTTCCTTACTTACTACCTTCTTTCCTTCCTTTCTTCCTTACTCCCCTTTTTCCTTCCTTCCTACCTTCCTTATTCCTTTCTTTCCTCTCTTACTCCCTTCCCTCCATTCCTTACTCCCTTCCTTCCTTCTTTCGTACATTTTCTTTCCAACTCTTTCTTTGTTTCATTTTTCATTAGAAGCATATCATTTCCTTGTATTCAATTTTCTTTCCCTTCATTAATATATGTGCTCTTTTAGTTTACTTATTTCTTATCTTTATCCTCTTTCTACTCACGAATTTACTTTGGGATTTATTCACATCGCATCTTTCATCATTTTTCTTTTGTTTTTTAAGCCGTTTACTTCTTTTCCTTTCCTGTCCCGACGTCCGATGCTTCTCTCTTTGTTTGTTTGTTTGTTTCTTTCTTTATTTCTTTCTTTCTTTTTTTTTCTTATTCCTTTTCCTCTAAATAATTACATTTCTCATATCCCACTTTCCCTGACACTTGTTCTTAATAATCATCTTATTAAAATTTTTGATACCAACTGCATTCCTTTTTATGAGATTTCTTTTAATATTTCAGCTATTTCAACTGTGCTTTTTATTGTCTTCATTCGATTCTAAAAGTCAGCTTTCTATATTTTAAAAATAAACAAATTTATAGATAAACCAAATAATAATTTGTTTTCTGACTCACATAGCCGCTCAACTTTGATGGAAATGTTATTTCAGTCTCACCTGTTTTAAATCGCAGAACGAACGCTGCAAATCAACCTTAAACGAGAATCAAATAAGATTAGTTTGAATTTTATTTCCTTTACTTGAACCGTTTCAATTTATTTAGAATCGCCTGTTTTTCTTTTGTTTTTTTTTTATATTTTTTATTGCCAACGATCCGACAGATTTCATGTTCATTTCGTTATCGATTCTTGAATCAAATCAAGCTGCAAAATAAAATAATTTTTGCAGATTTATTTACTTTTCAATATATTTAGATCAGCTAATTAAATATATAAAAATCCTCTCGACGAGTTAGGAACATTGATTGTTTAAAAGTAGCAGTTTCTCTCACTTATCTGTAAATTGATCAGGCATTGAAATATAATTAAAAAAAGTTGTATCTGTTGTCAATGAAATTATTAAAACGTTGAAATTATTTTCCGCCGTATTTAGACAAATAGATGAATATATATTCAGTTAATAACATTTTTCAGGGCATATTATCAGATCAGTTTCATATTATCAGTAAATGGGATTTAGCAGAATCTTCAGTTTATGAATATAGACAAAGTGTATGGAAGCCATGTTTTGAGGTTAGCTTGTTCCGCTCTACAAAGGGAAAAATCGCCTGGCATAAAATTAGGTTCTTTCTTTAAAAGCTTTAGAAGGTAAATAGTAAAAACTAGAGAAAAAAATATAATAAACATTTTGTATAAAATTTAAAAACATATCCTAAAACTTTCTTTGAGGTGATATTATTTTTTATCTTGGAAGCGATGCTTCTACAGTTTCCTCCATGACAGGGAGAAATACACATAACATGTAATTTTGTTGCACACGTCTCTTATTGAACTTTTTTTTTTCTCTTGCTGGATATATTACCAATCTATATGCATGAACCTTGCACATATCGTAGCCAGAAGTTTTAAGAAGAGAAAACACAGACAAAAGCCAGCCTGACCTAATACTATATGTAATACATTAATTTCCAGCGACATAAATTCCATACTCTCCTACGCTGACACAAGACACGATCAAAAACTACAAGATCCGAGGATGGAAGTCTTTGTTGAAGTCATATGTGTGCATCATTTTTTCTTCTTCTTTTTCTATGTGGCGTGTCCCTTCCCGAGGCTGGCGATCATGGCTCTCCACAATTCCTTGTCCTTTATAGCTCTTGATGTTGCATTTTTGTAATCTCTCCGATATCCTGTTTCGCTATCGATTTACTCAAATTCGCTTGGTAGGTTACGTTAAGTTTTCCTCTCACTCTCTTGCTTTCAATCGGTCCTGTGAGTATAAAATTCCCTAAGCCCTCTTTCTTCATTATCTGCTCAAACGTACCTTTCTCATTTTAAAATTACAAACGTTTTAATTTCCAATGGTATTCTCAGCATCCTTCTGTAGAACCATATTTCTCATGCATCGTGTCGCTTCTTCATCTGTGATTATATTGTCAAGCATTTATTTCCATATAAGAAGACTGGTAGAATGTAATATTTCAGTATCCTTTCATTTGTTTCTAACGACACCTTCCTCTCTTTTAATATATTGCTTAGCATTTGGAAGGCCTCATTTGTTGTCCCAATGCGGTTTGGGGTATGAGAGTCGCACTTTATCACTTTAACCCAATTTTAGCAGTTTTTGTTCACCATTGCAGTAGCCAGGTATCGCCACACTTTGGGTTAAGTAAGTGGATCCAACCAACGTGCTTATCCACTTGGCCAGGTGCCTTTGTAAATTGTGATTTCTGTAACTGTGTACGGCATAGGGAAGAAACGTGTCACGTGGAACTAGAACAATCTACCCAGGGAACGAAATAAAAGGCTCAGTTCGAAATTCAAATCACCTGAAGAAGGCCAGAGCGTGTAACGACTGAAACGTTATGAATATGGCAATAAAAATGAGGACAATTGCCCGAACAATGTAAATAATGTAAATAATCTAATGGTGTGTAAGGAAGGGATGTGTCTTTTCATCAGATTTATTCAATCTTTACAGTAAGGTGATTTTGAGACAATTATAATTCATAAATGGTGGCATCAATATTGACATTAGATATGCAAATGACATAGTGTTGATAGCAGACACAGAAATTAAAATACAATAAACTCTAAATGATGATAGTAAATGAAAACGATGTAAAAGAAAGAATGAATGGATGTCTGCCAAAGAACCTACTATCAAAAAAGTGAATAGGAGATGCCAAAATCAAGAGAGTACAAACATTTAAATACCTAGGACGTATTTCAACAGGACGGAAAATTTCGAAGTTACATTGGAATGTCAAATGATGTCTTCCAGAAACTAAGCAATATATTAAGAAACAGAAAAATACAGCTGGAATTACTTACATTGTTCGGACATTTGTCATCGTCTTTATTTTCATGTTCTTCACCGGATTGGAATTTCGAACTAAACTAAATTATTAAATAAATTATTATTTTTATTTTCTTTGATTTCTGGCGTTTACACATTTCTTTCCGGGTTCCGCCAAGGGACCTAAGGTTAGAAATGGCGCCATGACACCTTCCACTGACAAAAAAAAAAAAAAAAATTACATAGATAAAGCACTTCGTAAAGTGTGGGCTGTACTTGTCAGAACAATTTTTATATCTCCTTGTGGCATGGATTCCAGGAATTCCTTCAATTAGTCTACTCCAATCTTTTCCAACCAGTCCTAGGGCTCCAACTACAACAGGGATTGTTGATGTTCCCATATGCCACATTTTCGAGATTTCTATTTCAAGGTCCTTGTATTTTGACAGCTTTTTGAATATCTTCAAAGATACATTGCAGTCAGCAGGGACTCCCATATCAATAAGGAGGCACCGTTTGTTGTTTGTGGTCTTTAATAACAATATCTGGGCGGTTGGCTTTGATTGTTCTGTCAGTGTGTATTGTGTAGTCCCATAGAATTGTAACAGGTCCTGTCTCCGTAACCGGGTCTGGGTGGTGTTCATACCATTTTCTTTCAGTTTCTTTCCCGTAGAAGTTGCAGATTTTCCAGTGCAGATATTGGCCCACTGTATCATGTCGGGTTTTATATTCAGTGGATGCCAACATCGTGCAACCTGATACAAGATGATCAATCGTTTCTGGATATTTATCACAGAATCTGCATTTTGGGCTGACACAATATTTTAGTATATGTGCTTGATAATTCCTAGTTAGCAAGCATTGGTCCTGCGCAGCAAGGATAAAACCTTCAGTTTCCGCTTTCAACCCTCCACTACGTAGCCACTGATGGGTACGTGTTTTGTCTACGTCAGCTTGTTTGGTACGGGCAGAGTATTGGCCATGAAGCGGTTTATCTTGCCATCGCTTCTGTATCTGGTCGGTTGCATTCGTATTTGCTGCCTTTTTTAGGTATTTTGAAGTTTCAGTCGGTGTATTGTGTTATAGTTGTATCTATACGCCCATTTGAAACTCCATTTTGAATTTGTTGCCTTCTTTCATTACGGTGTAAAGACGCTTACTACTTTCATGTTCCTTGACGCATACCATCATCCAGTCTTCTGTAGTTTTCAAATATCTTTGGAGGCCAATTGTTGTAGTTTTGTAGGACAGTTCTAGTTGAACTAATCCTCTGCCTCCTTCGGATCTTGGCACATACAGATGATCAACATCAGCTTTGGAATGATGCATGAGATAGCAAGTGAGATGCTTTCTCGTTTTGGCGTCCATTCGCTTAATTTCAGCTATGGTCCAGTTAAGGATATTAAGGCTGTATTGCACCACAGGGACAGCCAATGTGTTTATGGCTGATATTCTGTTTTTTGAGTTTAGCTCAGTATTTGGTACCAGACGTACACGCCTGTAGTACTCTTTTCTTATTTTTTCCTTCATTTGGGGGTGTTGTATGCCATCTCCTTCGCTAATTCCTAGGTACTTATAAGCTTCATCATGCTCCAGTTCCCTAATCCTTGTGACAAAATCTAAATCTGTTAAGGGTGTTTCTGTAATTCTACCTTTCTTGAATATTACTTTTTTCACATTTATCTAATCCGAAGTCCATACCTATGTCGTCACTGAAGTATTTTACAATATTGAGGAGGCCTTTCAATTCATTGTCGTCTTTGGCAAAGGGTTTGAGATCATCCATGTAGAGTAGGTGATTGAATATTTTTCTTATTTATTTTGTAACCATAGCTACTGTTGTTCAGTTCATGTGTAAGAGGGATTAAGGATAAACAAAATAGAAGGGGTGACAGAGAATCTCCTTGAAAGACTCCACGTCGGATATTCAGACGGTTGGATATGGCAGTGCACCCGGTGTGGCTAAGGTATAGTTTGGTGTTCCACATTCCCATGCTGTGCTTAAGGAAATTTAATACCACAGGGGAGACTTTGTACATTTCCAAAGAATGTGGAACACTATCAAAGGCTTTACGATAATCAATCCACGCTGCACTAAGATTTCTGCGTCGTCTTCTGCAATTTTCCAGGATCATTTTATTTATCAGAAGTTGATCTTTGCAGCCATATGAACCTCTTCTGCATCCATTCTGTTCCAGCGG